AAGGCATGATAATCTCGGCCTTGATTATAGGCTGAGGCCGAGGCTGAATAAAATCACGGCCAGAGACACTAAGGTCAGATCATCAAGTGGCAGCAGGGTCCCACGCTTCATTTAATGAAGCAATGCCTCTGTTTATAATAGCAAACCCACTGACCACGAATAAGTATTTAATGCACGAGGGAAGGTGGGAAGTGATTGAAGTCAGGATTTGGTGACAGGAATCAGAGTGATTAGACGCAGACATTCTCACAAGAATTCTTGCAGTTTGAGAGATTGGATCACCAACTATCAGAAACAATAAATGCGTCTCCACAGCCAGAAGCGCAGAACCCACGATCAGGGCGGCGGCCGAGATTCACCGGGATTTATGGGGTCACACCACCATACTTCACGATCCCAAATATCGATTGGACAAGCCTACTTGCTCTAATCAGGATCCACCATGCGGATTTTTTGCCTCGATTACTCCTCCAAGAACTCTTCCTATAAATACGAGGCTCAAGCTACATTCACAGGGTTCAAACACCAAACAAAAACCTCCCACGGAGCAAATTATATTTTCTTGTAATGCACTTTCAATATCTTTACTTGCTTTCCTAGGAGTAGTGGTAGTCTGTAAGGAAAATCCATTCATCAATATATCATACGACCCTTGATTTTCAAGGCGCCGGAGCACCATCTCTGTTACTCATTCATTCACCCCATATATTATACGACCGCCGCTCACTGAGCAGCGCGCCGGAGCACCGCCCAAAACCCACCACCAGCATCACCCCTAAACGGCCTTGTAGCTCAGGCTGTGAACCTTGCAGCCGAGATTAGTTCCTCTCTCGGCTACAATCGTTTGATTAGAAGACGAGTTCAAACAGGCGCACCACTTGACCATTCTATCCACATCAACATCTCGACGCACAGTAGACCGTGCTGGCACGCCCGCGCACAACCGCACCGCATCCAAAAGCAGGAAGCCACGTGTTAACGCACATCCCTTCGGCCCGGAACCCCAGGCCATGAGATCTGCGCAGCCGACACCTTATCTGAGCCCTCTAGTCGGAGTGAAATAGCTCCCGGCTTTCCTATTGACAATTACAGCAAACTCAACATAAGATATACACCTCATGACCCATCCTACCCATTTACTAGCAAAGCCCATCTTTAACAGAATCGCCTGAATAAAATCCTACTCAATCCGATCGTAAGCCTTACTTATGTCCAGCTTGAGCCCCATCTTAAAAAAAAAAAAAAAATTCCTCCTAATCTTTAATGAGTGGAAAGCTTCATGAGCCACCAAGACATTATCTTGGATCTGTCTCCCTGGAATGAAAGCACATTGTTGAGGCGAGATGAAATTATCCAAGAGAGGCTGCAATCGATTTGCCAAAATCTTTGAAATAATTTTATATGAGTAGTTGCATAGGGAGATGGGCCGGAACTGGGTGACCAGTTCCAGATTGGGAACCTTAGGAATTAAGGCAATCTCGGTTCTGTTTAGCTTTTCCATAGATATGGTGTTTGAGAAGAAGCTGCTGACCAATCTGCAAACATCATGTCCCACAATGCTCCAGTACTTTTGGTAAAAAATTCCAGAGAAACCATCAGGTCCTGGTGATTTCAAGGCCCCCATTTGGAAAACAGTAATTCGAATTTCCTCATCAGAGATTGGGGCCAAAAGTGTAGCATTGATATCGTCCGAAATAACTGCAGGAATGAAAGCTAGAATGTCCCCCCAATCTCTTGGCCCCTCGGATGTGAACAAGTTTTTAAAATAATCTTTTATGACACTACGCACTTGATGCTCATCCATTTCCCAGTCTCCGGAATGATTCTTTATTCTTTCAAGACGATTCCTTCGCCTTTTTTGTATTGTGCAATTATGGAAAAATGCAGTATTTGCGTCACCATCCTTCAACCATTGAGTTTTCGCCCTCTGCTTCCAGTACAGCTCTTCGCAGCTCGAAACCTGGTTAAGGCTCCTCTCCACTTCCTTAATCTTCTTGGTATTTTCCTCCCAGTCTCGTTAGAGATTGTCTAATTTAGAGAGTAGAGTAGTGGCCATTTTCCGATTGTTTTGAAATTTCCTATCACTCCACTGTTTCAATTATTTTCTACATGTTCTAAACTTTGCGCCTCATGAAAAGCGAGAGGCAACACGAGTACTAGGCCCCCAACTCCTATCAACTACCTCTCTGCATTCAGGATCAGATGACCAGAACGCCTCAAATTTAAACGGCTTGAAACCGCTCCTAGCATTGGTTTCAGTCAGAATCAGAACAGGACAGTGGTCAGAGCCCACAGCTGGTAAGTGGATGGCATGGGAGTTTGCCCAAGTTTCCTGCCAAAGCACATTTATCAACCCACGGTCAAGTCTTTCTTGCACAACCACTCCGTCAGCCCTAGTCACGCTTGTTGCGTTGATTCAGCTGCACCAAAATGGATTCAGGTGCATCCTCAACTTGTGATACTCGCAAGTGCACAAGACGTTCGGTAGTATAGCATATGTAAGTGCGAGGTCGATTCCACAGGGATTGGTGATTGAATAATCCAATTCTGTTTTCCTACACAAAACAGAAAAACAAGAAAGAAAATAAATAAAACAAGAAAGAAAAGAAAATAACTCAAGCAGATAAGTTCCCAAGTTCAATTAGATTAACGGATTGATTCTAGTTAAAGTATGATTAAGCTATGGTGTCTGGTCCTAACCTTGTATTCCTAATTCCCTAATTTGATCATCTGTTGTCTAACCTAAACTAAGCATTAGGAATCCATTAAGCAAAGAAGAACATTTTAAACAACCAAGTATGTATCTAATTCCTGTTGTCGAATGTCCGTACTTACTCTTCCTATTCATAGTTCAATTCGAATTAAAGCATGGTGACTACTCTTAATTCAAACCAAGGTAGCTAACATGCAAGCCTAAATGGTGATCAATCATTCAAACTAGCATATTAACTTATAAGCATAATGAATAAGAACAAAAACCATAATTGAAACTTGGAAACTAATCAAACTTGAAACTAAAGAAAAGAATTTACATAACAATGAAAAGTAAAGTGGAACTAAGAAAAACTTAAGGAGAATTTCAACACAAAGATTTCATTACAACAATTGAAAACTAGACAGAGAAACTGAGAGAATTTGAGGGAGAGAAGGGAGGGGAGCTCTAGAGAAGTGTTTGAGAGCTCCCCCCTTTGGGGGTGTTTTGTGAAGCTTGAAGACTTCTCTATTTATAGGGCTAAGAGGGAGGAACATCATGATGAATTCCAACACCACCATTCTTGTTTTAATACAATCCATAACTCCCACTTCATCTTGTTTATGTTAGTGTGGTTGGAATCAATTCCATCCTATACTTCTTTTGCTGCCGCACCTCAAGCTTTCTTCACATGGGTTTTCAAAGGTGTTCAATTGTGGCTGCCTTTTGCTGCCAACCCATGTGGGTTTTTTTTTGGTTGCTGAAAAAAAAAAATTCTTCTGAACCAGGCTTGGTGTAGGAAGGCCTGAGGTTTCAATATGTATCCAATGGGGCTCAAATTTGGATATGTCATAATAGACACCCATTGGAACAACTTTTATGAAGAATGTATTCCCATCTGAGCAGTA